GTTTCATTAAAAAACACAAAACTATCAATTGAATGTATACACAGGCCAGACATTTATAGAATTACCTTGAAGAAGCAACATAAAAAGGATGCACACCGTGAACAAATGAGCTGAGGGAAAAAATGAACATGTAGCTCGGAGCCTCTGACGCACGATGTGTTACGTAAACGTGATTACTTATCCAAACTCGTGAGCCTTCACAATGTGCCTTTTGTACGTCAAAACCCAAGCCAGTTCTTGTGCGCCGACGAGGATACTTCACTTACACTAACCGTATGACCTCATCGCTCAGGGACTGCTCACATGCATGAGTGTGTACTGTACATTGACACATGTGTGCATGTGACGTTCCTCCCAGTACAGTGGGCAAAACGAAATTAGGAGCACGTGTTGAGTGAGATTATGCAGATATGTAGCAGCCCTCATTACATCATATCACGTGGTCGATATTGTGAGCAGGACATTTCCTCTTGTGTGCTGTGACTTGTTGAATAAAGATTTGAATAAAGTAGATTAAATATTGTCTTGTTGTCTGTCCAATACATCATAACTAATATGAACGTTCCTTTGCGATTGATGCAATTCATTTTTTTAAATTTGTCTACAGTACAACAGTAAGTGTGTATTTTTTAATAATGTTGCAAATTACTTAATTACACTAAAAACAAAGATTTCAATCATGATTTGTCAGTGATAAAAAATGATTAGTAAAGTAATTGGGATTTCTTATTCTGTTTTAAAAAAATTCTTCACAAGAATCTTTGAGTGTGCTTTAAGAAAAATAAGTAAAAATACACTACAGCTATACAGCAAAAGAAAAATGCACTGATTATTGATGTCTAAAAGTAAAACTCGCCGACTCTTCCTTCCTCGTGGGTGGTATAGTGTCACACAGAGCGACATGTTTTCCGGTAGACCGCGCCTCTGCATCCATTAATTGACCTAACAAATCTCTTGCTGACCTTCAGATTGGCACCAGAGATTCCCAGTTAAAGCACAGCCGTGGCCCACAATTTGTGTGTCACACATCGCCCTGGGATATAGGACAGTGCCTCATCCATGTCATCAGATAGGGACGCGGGTTAGTGGAGGCACTTTTTGCTCATCTCCCTCTTGTAATGGAACCAATCAAATTGGAGACCACAGGCGAAATACAGTGCAAAAGGGATGTTTTTGGGGTGTCGTATTATTGTACAATATCTACGTTGATAGCATGTAATTTAATACAAAATACAATTTGGAAAGAGGAAAGTAAATTTGGGGGATGGAATTAAATGTCCCTTCTCCATTCACAATTATATTAAACAGGCCAGATGAGTTTAAGAATATGTCCAATGAAAAGGATGAAATCAATATCAAACTATCGTACCAGTTGCAATAAGACAAACCCTGAATTTATAATTAAAAGAGTAAAGAGGAGAATTGTTAAGGTAGAGTGAAGGAGAATAAATTATAACAAATCATGGTGATCGTGGAAATACGTGCTGATGTTCCATTGTGAGTCAAGGAAATGAATAAGAGGAAGAATGCCATGCAGTGTTGAGACATACTCAGCACAAACTGGCGAACTGCTCCTCAGTTGAATCTCTTGGTGAGTATAGCTCTCCAGAGGATGTTTTGGGAACTGCAATCAAAAGCACAATGTGCAGCTCCATCACATAGACAAACTAAAAATGGTTTTAAAAAAAAAGTACAGAATCAACTTCAAAAGAGTTCCAGTAAAGTTTCCACAAGACCCAGCTTGACACAGAACGGGTACAGCACGTTTATTCAGCTCAATTAGGATATTCGTACTGGTAGTCTCCTCCCCATGACGTATTCACAACAAAGTTACGGTAAAAAGTGTTTCAAGTGAATGATTCAACGTCTCATTTGGTGTAACAAAATATGCCGTCTGAGGCTATTCTTGGCTTTTGGTTTGTCAATGATCTGCTCTGTGTCTTGGCGTTTTTGTGAAGCACTGCCAATTATTTGGTTTCAACTCAATGATGTGATTAAATTTAATTGCGAAAAATCCCACTCATAAAAGATATTTGAAGTTCTTTGAGCGGACTCAGTGGAAGATAAATCTTGTTCCAGTCATTCGTGCTGCTGGTGGGACTGGCAACAATATTGTGTTTTCAATTAGGCCACTGGAGATGACGCAAAAAAAATAAAAATAATCTGGCACATCTAGTAGTTTTGTAGTAGTCATCAGTTATCTTGGTGTACAAGATCCACATAGAGTTAGGTAACTGTGAAAATATAAAAAGAGAACCAAAGACTGTATAGAAGTGGACGTAGTTGCCGTGATGACACCCATTGGTTTGTGGACTAGTTTTGAAGCCTTGAGTTTGGCCTTTTGGCCGTCACGCCGTTGGGGTCTTTTTGCAACCAGAAGTGACACGACAGGGAACACAACCGGTCGCTGTAAAAAGACATTTCTAGGCTACCCAAAAGGTTACAATTAACGTTCATGAACTGAAAACACAATGTGAAAGGGTCAAAGTTCTAAGATCAAAACGCAGACCGAACTGTCAATGACAAGGTAGCCAAATAAAGCATACACCGCTTCATGGACTATTTTCATCTAAATGGACCATGATTCGCTAAATGAACATCATTAGCAATTGAGACCAGAAACTCATGTTCACAATGTTTACTGAGGTAGTAAATCAAGTGAGAAGTATGATCACTTTCTCATAGACTTCTATACAATCACTACCTTAAGAGTTAGCTTTTAATTACATAAAAGCAAAAGACATCATTAAGACTAAGAGTCCCAGCCATGCTTTAGCAGCTCTGTGAGGCTGCACTTATGCAAAAACTGGGAGCAAAAACTTTAGCATGCCACTATAAGAGACAATAATGTGTATAAATCTCATGACAATCCATCCAATAGCTCATTTTGCTAAAAAAAAACAAAAAACCTGGTGGTGCAAGAGGAAAGGGTACCGACCGACCGAACAACCGACCGACCGACATTGTCACCTTTACAGCCATGACGCCAGTGTGGCTAAAAAAATGTGAGTAAAACTACTTTGGTTTGAATGAAGGTGAACAAGTTCAAAGCCAAAAATTGAAATTTGGTTGATTAAAGGTAAGTCGAACCATGCAAGACATTGACCACACCAGATACCATGACTGCAAAATACCTTATTTTAATGACCGATTTTATTTATTTTTTGTTAATTCTGCAAGATTCCAAGGAAAATACATCGTCTATAACTGAACTTTAGACAAATCTGTCAGTGATGTCTGATCCTGAAGGGAGCTTTATGTCTACATCATCCTCATTCCTTAATTATTTGTATTAAACCACAGCTGTGACATTGGTGCACTGAACGATTGAATGTTTTCACCAAAGGGGGGGGGGCAAACTGAGTCAGCCCTGTCCAATGTCAGCTTACTGGAATTGAACAAAAGCCGGCATTCTAATAATTTGCTCCTCCCTACGTCCCATCTGTGCATCATCTACTTCAGAATTTCCATCTGCATCACGTTGTTCCTCCGACATCAGGGCTAAACTGTTTGTTTTGGCAAGCTACGTTTTATGATTCTCGCTCCTTTAACAAAACTATTCAAGTTAATCAAAGTTCTCGGAAACAGATATAGTGACTGATAAATATAATTCATCCGCTGACATGTCTGCAGAGGAAACATTTATATTCTCTGCAGAACATATATATATAGTGTAACACAATAACTGTGTCTGCAACAATAATAATAGTATTGATGTTGTGATTACTGACAATAAACTAGGGCCCACTGTGAAAAAGTTAGTCACTTAAAGTTTGTTGGTGACCAGATCTGACGATGGCACATGTTCATGTCCTCCAAAATGGGTTTCAGAATGAGAGAGAAGGGGAACGTACACCAGTGTTGGAGAGCTGCTGACCCCGATGCTAACAGTGTTACACTCCCATATAGGCGACACTGAAAGAAAATGATTCTATTATTATTGTTGTTAATAATTTGATACAGTGAACTCTTTAATTACACATTTTCATTATGTTCATTTTGAAATCTAAATCTCAGTCGGTTACTACAGAGGTCATCTGTGCAAATCACAAGAATGTGCCAGTAACAGTTGAACTCTGTCCCACATAAAATCTCACTAATACCAACATCATCATGCAGAGCGGCTTTGTGACACGCGCACGCACACACACACACACACACACCTACACCTGTGAAGTATTACAGTACACTGAACACCTCATTCCTCACACATAAGATATACACAAGTAAGCAGTGGTCATATTCAATCAAGCGTTGGTTTACGTTAAAACAGAGGGATGAATAATTAAGGGATGAATTCAGAAAGAAGCATCTGCGCAAAAGAAGGTCAGTCACTGCCGTGTATACATTCCATAGGGGCATGTGGGAAAAGCAGTATTGGTAATATCCACTCAGAAAACTTACCATTAAGAACAAAGGTAGCTATACAACCGCACACTGTACAGTACATACAGTAGGCTATTTGAATAAGCACAAATCCATGACCAAAAAGTAATAAAGTTTGATTATTTACAAGTTTTGTAATTAATATGATTCTGAAATCTGTCATAAAGCAGTTTCCCAGCACCATTTAAAGTTTACGATTCTGCACTGTACTTTACCCCAGTCCCTCACCTTTCTTTGACCTACTGGCTGCAGTGTCGGCCATGTTTTGCACCACCTGTTTGACCAGTTTAGTAAATAGAGACGCACCTTAGGTTTCCTGGCTTGCTCCTCTGATCCTCCGCTCACTGGCCATGATGTATACCCATGGCTGTATTAAGAGCACCCGAGCTTCTCCCTCTCCTGGGCTATTTCTGCCTTTAGCTGCCCGACATCATGCCTGTTCAAAAGCGCTTGTCGCCTGACCGGTTCTCTTTAAACAGACCATAGTTCACCCTCACAAGCGAACATACCCCATCATGCACCATGTGTATCCGAAATGTACGGATTACATACATGTATAGTGTTGCTTTTCTGCTGAAATAAATAGAGCAAACAAAAAAAACAGGAACAATGCAATTTAATTACATTTATTTAGTATAGCCCAGAATCAAAAAACACAAATTTGCCTCAAAGGGATTTACAATCCGTACACATGCGACATCCTCTGTCCCAGGACACTCATTAGAGCTCTACAAGTTGTATTCCACATATTGTGCAAAACCAGGTCTGGTATCCAAGTGCAACAACCACACATGGTAAGTACAACTACCAGATCTGGTACTAAGGTGCAACAATAATTCAATAAATAACACTTCCTGTGCAATGAAAGCATCACAAGAATTCACATTAATCAATTAATAAACAGTGCATATCACTTTAAATGTAACTTTAGCTGAAATCAAAACAACAAAGTCAAACAAATTAGGATGCTTAGAAGGAGAGACAAAATGTCTTTGGTAAATTACACCATTAATTATGCTGCAGCTGCAAGATAAGATCCCAGTGAATTATGTTTGGAATCATGAAGCGTCAAAATCTGTCAAACTACGCATTTAGGCCCCTAACATTTGCCCTGGAGGAGGAGATGGCAAGGGATTTTAAGTATTTCTCCAGCGTAGAGAGGTAGTCTTCTGGGTGGCATCGCATGTGGGCGGCATGCTTCGACACCTTCCACTTCCTGCTCTCCACAGTCACGCCCCTCATCCTCCAGTGGTCAATCAACTTCTCCATGTCAGCCGTGTCGCACATGGCGTCGTTTTCGCTGAAGAAGAAGAGGGCCGGTGCGGTAATTGGGCTGTCGTAGAAAGCCTGGATGCTGTTGTCGTAGATGTCTGCCGTGTGTTTTTTGAAGAGCCAGAAGTAAAGCATTGCGGCGTTTTTGACAAAGCTCTCTAGCCGTGGAACCAGAGTCTTTCCAAGGCCTGAATAACAACAAGAGAGAGTAAATAATCAAGAGGGTTAATATTTCATAACTAGTACAATCACATGTGTTTTTCCTACAATTTCTAATAAGGTGTATGGGTGTTTATTTGTGATGCACATCAGAGATGATGACATCCTGTATCCAAATATTTTGATGTATCATTTAAGACATTTCCCATGAAAGAAAAAGTCAAACATTACCTAGTTCCAGTTTCTTAAATGAGAGATTATGTTGCTTTTCCTTATCTTACATTAGTCGGTGGGTTTTGGACTGTTGGAAGGATAAAGCAAAATATTTGAGGAGATTGCCTTGGTAACTGTGGAACTGTAATGGGTACTTTTCACTGTTTTGTAGACCAAAAGATGAAATCTGGTAAATAATCAGCAGATTAATTAATAATAAAAACTGTTGGTTGCAGTTTTAGTAAATTACTTAACAGCAATGTTGCTCATTGAATAATAATTATAATCATTTCATTGAGCAAAGAAGCCAAAATGCTCCAGTTCTAGCTTCTCAAGCTTGAGCATTTGCTGCCTTTAGTTTCTTTATATCATAATAAAATAAATATCTTTGGGTTTTGGACTTTTTATTTTTTTCTTCAAGCATTGCCTTGGGGTCTGGGAAACTGTGACAGGAATGTTTCACTATTTTGGGAGACTTTGTAAACTAATTTATGCTTAAAAAAATAAAAGATGAACCAATAATTAAAATGAAAATCTTTATATACAGCCTTAACACACCTATCGCCATGTGCTCCAGAGTGCCGACCACCAAGCTGTCATAGATGTGCCCGATCACCCTCTGGTCCAGGCCTGCATGTTGTTTCCGTCCTTGAGCAACGTTGATGAGTGTCTGCGTGAAAGTGAAGCCCCCGATGGAGGAGGCGTGGACCAGCACCGCCCTCTCTGAGAACTGAGGCTGCTCCAGGACCTTCAACACCTCCATCCCGTAGTCGAGCCCCCATCGAGGCCACAGGAAGTGCATTACTTTGCTCTGGACCAGGAGGACATCCATGCCACGGTCCAGGTAGAGGTCCCTGTATTTGCCCACCGCCGCTGGCCGGGCACCGAGCCAGGAGAAGAAGAGAAGAAGAGGACGCGAAGTGGATGAGGAGTCTGATTGGTTTTGAGAGGATGCGGGTGTGCGTGAAGGTGAATCTGAGAGCAACGGAGAGGAGGAAGGATCTGCAGAGGAGGAGTCGCTGACGGGCAGAGCGGAGGGAGACGGGGAGGAGTTGGGGCAAAGTGCAGTGGAAGTCTGAGAGTCTTCGGCAGCAAATACTGTCTGTTCCTCTGCCACCAAGAAGGGAGTGTAATAATAAGTTATCCCCTCGCTGATCCTATTGGTTATGAACCTTGCTTGGTTGACTTGTTCAGACATGGTTGCGTCACTCCTGCAGAGACTGGAAAGATTAACAAACCTCAGATTTAATAAATCACATTCTGACAGAGAAGACAGAGAAATATATCTTCCCCCTGAGACCCGGAAAAATGAAAGGCTGGGTGGTGCAGTTATTTTTACATATACAATAAAAACATGCCAGTTTTTTTGAAAACATTTCAATACCATTGCCAATAATACTTTTCCATTTAAATTTCTAACCTTTATATTTTTACTCTTGTTTTTAATCTTGTGTTGTAATTAAAATGTTCTATTCTTGATGAATTGTTTCACTATATTTATCTTCATCGTATTGCTATTCAATGTTTGCACTGGTGTCAGTATTACTTATACACTTAATACTTCAATCAATCTCTGGCACATTTGGAATTAATGAAATTCGATCATCTTCTTGTCTTTTGGGCTATTATTCATCATCATCTATTTATAGACTAGTATTAGGCCCACTTTACATTTATTTTGCACTTTACCAATTAACATGTCCTCTACATACAAACAATTAAATGGATTTAGATTGCCATGTCACCCACGATCTGTGTGATACCGTCTGAAATATTAAGGGAGGATACAATCAAGGGTTTCCATCTTGTGCAGATGAAAAAGGGGGGGGGGGCATTGAGTTCACAGAAACGAAGCCGGGCTGTGAAGAGATACTATTACGCGTGCCTTTCACCGACGCAACAAAGTGCAACTGGAGCAAAAATGGCATCCAAAGGATCGCGTTACCGGGTCTCAGGAGGACGTAGCACAGTATCAGCCGACATTTATTTTATTAAATGCGGATGCAAGTTCCGCATAACAGGACTCACACAAGCAGCAACATCACAGCAACATATTATTATGTTACCCGGTGAAGAGCGCCAGATTCCCCATTCTACGGAGCCGGATTGTGCGGGGCCAGCCCTGGTCCTCCTGGTTGCCTGACAGAAAAAAAAGAAAAAAAAAAAGGACTTGGGAAGGTCGGTCAAATCATCCGCAGAGGTGGTGCTGGTGCGTCTCAATCTGATCCTCCATCGAGCGGCGTTTTCCTCCTAGTTCAAGTGATAGCGCCCCCCTCGGCGGTTGAGGTGGGTTCGGGTTTAATTCTGTTTAGTCAGGGGGGGCGGACTGTGAACGCACACCAGTGTTGGAGAGGTGAAAACACAAGTGTACAGGGGGGAAAAAATTATCGCACACTCGATGCAAAATATATTTAATACATTAATAATTTACCAACGTTTCGATACTCCGTCTCCGTCAGGGTAAAGAGGTACAGAAACAGCTCCACGGGATTTAAATAGGACACAGGTTTGTTTAATATATATAGGCTACACATTGTGGAAGAAGCATATAACTGCCTCACTCTCCAGGTATTTAAAAATCACCTTTAAAGGAATGCTTTGATCAAGAAAAGCTAATGTTGTACAGTCATCAAGAAATAGTATATATATATATATATATATATATATATATATATATATATATAACAAATAACATGTACACATGTTCTGTGTAGCCACGTTCTTTACGTTTGTATTTAATACAGTCAGAATTATCTTTACAGACAATGTTTTAGGGGAAGAGGATGACAACTATCCGCTCTTAGTTGGGGGGTGGGGGGGACACGTATCGACAGGGAAACATTATTCGGCTCAACACCGCCTACGAAGCAACTTCTTCTTCGTGTTCTTCTTTCTGATGTTTTGTATTGGCGGTTGGCAAACAACGAAATGTGACATTACCGCCGCCATCTGGTATATTGTGGATCAGAACAGTTCATTTAAGCCGCTTATACGCTAATAATAATAATAATAACAAATATAAATAAATATAATACAATTAATTAATGAACAAAACATATTTTGTTGGCACTTTTCATTCCATCTGTGCTTAATTACACTAATATGCATTATGACCTACTGATCAAATAACTGCAAGACATTTCAGTGTCACAAGATGGAGCCAGACTAACACAGGAAGAAGAGAACTTAACTGCTGCAGGATGCGGATGCATGTGTATAATAAACTTATTGATTCATTTATCATTTGTAATTTGTCATTTGACAACCTCAGTTTATACTAATACACCAAATCGAATGGCTCAATCCTATTTCAATCCTGGAAACTGTGATTGACGACTTCATCCACTGGAAGAAGTATTCAGATTACACAAGTAAAAGAAGATATACCACACTTTAAAAATAAAAGTCTTGCATTCAGAGTAAAAAGTACCGTATTTTCCTCTGAAATGTAGTGTAGAAGTATGAATTAAAGTACGCAGGTACCCCAGAATTGTACTTAAGTACAGTGTTTGAGTAAATGTATTCAGTTAGACCAAATAGCTTTTTATTAATTAATTAATTTTATATTGTTCTGACTTAGTTTTAACTTTAATTCGCCTAATTGTAAAGCACATAACTGCATATAAGTGATATATAAATAAAGTAAATTACATAATTATCTTCCTCCATCTCAGTTATTCAGTTCAAACTTGTCATTTGATCCTGTGAGATGCTGACCGCAAAATCTGATGTTCACAGTTGTTTTAGATCATTTCAACCAGGAAGTTCCACTTTAGCTGCTGGAAACATCCTGATGTGTCACGTTGGTCTACATTTAGACGGCTCAGTGGGAACATGAAACGTCTTCCACCAAACCAGCAAAAAGGCATCAACCTGCTTCAAGAGTTTGTTTGTATTCTCTCCCTGATCTTTCCTTTCACCCGTCTAACCTCACGTTTTCCCCTTTGAATTCAACTGCAGTAGCTTTAATATATAAATAAACATCTCATTGTGCTCTAACAGCATTACACATGTATCATCTTGTTCTATTCATTGAATCTATAGACCTCTGTATACAGTGTTTACTGAGGGAGATATTCAAACACACTTGGTTTTATGGCTGCATCATTCCATCAACTGTAATTAGTCTAGATGTATCATCTCATACACACTCCTTATGTGTTTCTTGAATGTTTTTTAAAAAGGGTTCGAACTAAGCTTGGCTGCACGGCACACATTTACAAATGTATGTTATTTGCATTAAGCCTCTATGTATGTTACCTTTCTTTTCATTGTGGCTTTAAAACCACAAAAACGACTTTTCCGGCATCACCGTCAGTTTGTCTCAGCGCTTCTTGCTGTGGATGTGAGGCGCGGTATTCATGACAGTGTTGTGTGTCGGTGACTGTAAAATGGCTGTCGCAGTTGTGATCGGGTCTTTCCATTCTTTCACATACAGGCAGCAGAGGCAGTTTTAGGTCATCGCATTCACTCACTTTCTTTTTCTCTCTCTCTCTCTTTCCCTGGATCTACTTTCCACAGTCGCATGCACCTTCCCCCACCGACACACACATTACCTTATATTTCCAGTCGGCTACTTCTTTTGACCTTCAGTTTGATTCTTAGTATTGATTCTTGGTTCATTCATATTTACATGAACAGAAATTTCCCATTTTTGTCAGGATCTTTGGTATCCTTGTAATGTGTATATCACATGTAAATATAATATCATTGTTTCAGAAAGCTGTATTAGCCTCCAATAAAAAAAACAGGATACTGTTGCGTGGAAACACCTTATCCAGGTTTCCATGGCCTCCTCAACCATCAAATAATGTCAAAAATAAACAATGCCGACCTATTGCTAACTGCTCTGCTCACCAGCTAGTCGCTAACTTTGTCTAAACCGTGAGCTAAAAGATGCTAAAACACTCCATAGAGCTGAGGGGAACAGCAAAGTCATGTGACCCACTTTACATTACACATTTGATCAATTGTTGATATAGAAATATGCATTAGTCCAGCTTTATTTTCAAATGTTTGGCTAACAGTCTGATGTTGTGTGCAAACTTGTGCGTGTGTGCGACAGATAAAGCCTGAGATTTTCTTTGCCTGGCTCAGCGTGATCACTTTCAGGCTCAGTCAGGCAGAAAAATGTTTTAAGTCCCACAAAAACAACACTCACCCCCTCGGCCATGCGCCTGTGTTACCCTCAGCACTAGCTACCCGACATCCCCATATATGTTCTCTATACATTCCCCTCATCAAAACTCTCTCTCCCAGGAAAGGAAAGCCCCCCCCCCTGTAACGCAACAAGGCCTTCTCACCCATCTTCCCCTCTCTGCACCTCAGACCACCCCTGTGTTGCTGCCGCGCAAATGCCCTGCCTTTCCTTTTTGCATTGTTTCACCGTGGCCCCTATTATCCAAGCAAAGAGAGAAAGTTGGGAGGGAGGGGAGGCAGACAAGAAACCGAAAGGGGAGGAGAGGAGAACGTGCCCTCTCTGTTCTGTGGGCAGGAGGGGTCCACCCACATCAGCGTGTGGAAAATCCGTCGCAGCTTCCTGCTCCGGTCTTTCCTTTTCACTCCACTCGCTTATCTCTGTCAGATTTCCACACACACACACACACACACACACACACACACACACACAACAACCCAAATTAAAGCAAAACCGGTATTGGTGCAGATATTGGCGCTTTTCTTTAAACTACAGTGTTGGGAGGCATAATTTAGCATTAACCAATTACAGGAAACATACAGAAATTTGCAGTATTATGATTACTCATGCTTGGAAGGCGAAGCAAATCTTATGAACCAAGAGCAAAGCCGCCTGGAGTCGTGCTTTTATACAGCAACATTCTCCATGTGCTCTGCATCAACGGAGTTAACATCTGATGTTCCCGGTAAAGGGCTCATCTCCAACATGTTCAGCTTTAGTCTAAATAGTAGAATCATCCTGCAAATGAGAACTCTAAACTTAAGCTAATTATGAGTCCATCTGACTTTTGGTTACAATCCCTGATTTGCTAGGAACTGTACATTGTGAATATACTTGTGAATATAGACTATGCATTCATTTAGAGCCATGTGCCAATTGGTGGATATAAGCCCACTCTCCTTTTAGCTCTACTTTGGTCTCTAGTTGCTAATGTTGCCTGCTGTTTGATGCTGAGCAGCTAATGTACAGTGGGATAGACTTGTTTTTTTTTTACTACTAACACATGGTTACTTAATCCATTGTTGATATAAAAGTATTGACTGCAGCAGCTGTAATCATTCTAGATATACATTTCCCCCTAAAACAAGGAAGCAGCGTTAAGGCTGACACAACAAGTGGCATGTTCGGCAACCGTTTCTTTACCTCTCTGCCATGTTTTGCATCAATCTCCCCCTTCCATCTTTCACCCTCCTCCATGAGAGGGCTGCGATTTGCATTCATAACATGCTCAGAGGCTGTTGACACCTGTCGTCTGAAGGAGGCGCTTTTTTTTTTTTTATCCCATCAATCTTCCTCATTGGTATGGAAACCATGTTAAATCCCCAGCAGGTGCATGTAGCTGATGTATTAAACATACAATCATTGATTACTGATGGCAAGCCCACGTCTCACTGGACCCACACGCACCAAAGCTCCATTGTGTTTTGAACAGTCTGCTATATTGTTCATTTAGGTGTTGCACCATGGGCACGGAGAAAATACTAGTTCCTGATTGGTTGGCGGGCCTCAGGTAAAATTGGGCAAATGCCTGCACTGTCAGTAGATAACAGTTAGTAGTGGATAAATACAGACTGCCACCACCAGCTGACGAACTGCTTTAGGCCTAAATGCATCTTTAAATTGAGTTGTCATAGTCCCCTGTTCATGCTTCATAAAAGGCAGTTACTTTAGAATCGTGAGAAGGGAAAGCAAAGTGATGATGGCACATTATTTATCCCAGAGGCCACTTCCCTGTATCTCTCAAGGAAATACAGATGATTTGTCCACCAAGGTCATCTCTGATCCTCATCTAACAGCCCTAATCATCCGGATCAAATCTGCAGGGAAAGCTGTCTGCGAACACATTCAAAAAAACACACCAGAACTTACCCACACACACATACACACACTTCGTCAAGCTTGAAGTACACATGCCAAAAGGAGCGAGACTTGAAACACACACATGGACGTTGTGTCGCTTGTTAAAAGAGTATTGGAATAAGTGTATTGGATTTCTCTCTTAGTCAGATTGTCTTCATAGATTTTTTTTAAAGGTTGTATTTACACCGTGACTGCTGCC